ACTTCTTGCTATCTCTATGTCCTTCGCGGGGGCTATGACAGTATATTCTTATAGAAGTATACTTACTTATACTTCAATTGTATTTATACTATATACTTCAATTGTAATGCTTCTATATTGAAAAATATTCAATATAGAAGCATTACACTTACTTATTAATTGTAAAAAAAAACACTTCTACCGCAGTAAAAACACCTATTTCTGATTATTCAAATTGATTCGTTGAAATTATTCCAATCGTGAACACTGCCCGATTTAATTCAACGCTCCATCAAATCCGGCCATCGACAGTTTTAATGCGTACACCCAAATAATAGGTAACATCGACGCAAATATTTAACGCGATACGAATTCAAAGCTCTTTTATTTGCGCCGGGCGCGTTTGCTGTTAACAGTTTGTTTGCCGGTCGCCCTTTCAGCGGAAAACGCGCCCCCGTGTTTCGTGGGTTTAAAGCTGAAATTAACTGACGCGGCGCCGTTCCAAACTGCGAACGCCGCAACTATCCGTCTAATGGGGCAGCGCTGCGCCCCAGCGCAGTTTTGCTGACAAATCGTATGCATCTGCCAGCGGAGCGCTGGCTCGTATATTCGCCTATCACGTTAGTCGTCGGCACTTTTTTCGTCGCTCCGACTAAATTATTAGCATTGAACGGCGGATAATCGATGAATGACGTCCATAAATTAGTCGGAATGACGATTTGATAGATCGATTGGTTGTCGTCAAGTCACTGATTATGAGAGCTGATGAAGCAATCAGGCTAAAGTCGAGCTTTTATTAGTCTTACCATATACAGATGAGGATTCTGTTTAAAAATAATGTTAACTTTGGAGGATTGGTGAGGATATCTTTTAGGCCTTAACATGTGTGGCTCATACGCAATGTTTAATCATAATTGTGTCTTTTCTAAAATAATTCGTTGACAAAACAACTCAATCGGGAATGAAGTGTGAAATATGAGTAAAATTCGCGTAATGCCCTGTTATTCAGTTCATTACTAAACAAGGAGTATGTAAAACCAGATTTAGGAATAAGGCGGACGGCTTATTAGTAACACTTTCTCATTAATTAAGGTACGGTAAAGCAATTATCTGAAAACGTTCCTCCCAGCCCATTGAAGTGACCACTTCAGAAAGTCGGGAAAATCGAAAACTTTATATTAAAAGATACTACAGTAAAAACAAAACATCTAAGAAAAATGGTTGGAGTATCTGATACGATCATGTTTAAATTCTAATCACAAGATCAGTGCGGACAATGCTAAGGTAGTTGAAAAATACAACAGTGCAAAGAACGTTCCTATCTACTTATCTACTTATAACTAGATTAATAAAAGGTGAAATTGTTCTTGGCGATAAATCTTGGGGTCATTCTTGAGTGCAAACAAGCAAGACTGCACGTAGTGGTCCAAAAATGTTCACTAAGAAATTTAAATAAAAATGACAAAAGGGTTTTGTGAATTACGTTGGTGACCATTATAATACTTTCGCGTTTCGTCTGGTGAGTGAGGTGGCCGGAGCCCAATTTTCAAAAGGTTGTCGACGCACCTGCAACCCTCGGGTGTAGCAGATGTTCATGGGCGGCGGTATTCACTTAACATCAGGTGATCCGTCTGCTCATTTGGCAAATTTTCACATAAAAAAACCAGGCCCTTCCCACTGCGGTGTCTAGCAGACTTCACATATCATCGAAATATGTTTTTACTTTGTTAAAAATACACAACCTAACAAAGGATCCTTCACCGCAGAGCATGTGATAAGTTAAAATTTGAAATTTGAATTTACACTGCTAATATCTGCACTTAAGATTTTTCATTTTTCTACAAATTTCAATGTTTAATATTTGAAGTTGCAATTTACAATATCATTGGTATACCCACATCTTGATCAATTTCTTGGATTACGTATTTAAGATAATAATACTTCGACTCTCAATCACGCACGGCATAAATCTGAACATATCTTTTTTCAAATATACGAAAATTCACGATAGAACAGGCAAAGGGAATAGCGAAGTGTTTTTCGTTCGACGTAAGAGTGGAATCAATGAGCAATTTTGACTTTGCAACGACTGTCGGGAACGGTGCTGTATTAGTGGCAATAAAGATAAAACCATAGACGCCATTCGACTCGGGGAAACTAGTTCTCGAAAACAACGGTGTAAGTCTCCGATGGGTTCGTTCATTTCCCTCCCCCAGGGATAAGACGTTAGCGTGCGAAATTTTACAATTCTAATTTCGGAACGTGATATTTTTCAATTGTACACTGACACAGTTTATGCATTCTCTCTTACACTAGCACGTACGGAAGATGACACATAGGGATGAAATGAAACGAATCATGTCGTAACGTGTTCTTCCCCAGACGAACCTGCCCATTCGAACAGCAATAGAAGCTTCTGCACCACCTGCTTTTGGTGTTTTTTTTTTTTATTTGTGAGAAGCAAACGAGCTGGTGGTTCACCTGATGTTAAGTGATAACCGTCGCCCATTGACATTTGTGTTGCCACCTTTTAGTAATGTGGACCCCGGCTACCTCACTCACTAGATGAAACGCAGAATAAAACTAATGTTAACGTCCATGAGCGAGGGTAACCACTTAGCATCACGTGAACCGCCTTCGCGTTAGCCATCTATTCACAAAAGGGAGCAAATAAAGTTTTATACAAGCTATAACAAGCCTTCATATCGCTGAAACTGATTGAACGTCGGATAATGTAACTGGTGCGTTATATTAGGTAAAGCGTTATATTAGGTAAAGCGTTATATTAGGTAAAGCGTTATATTAGGTAAAGTGTTATATTAGGTAAAGCGTTATATTACTAAAAGCGACTGTGCTTTTATCCCTGCTTGGAGACAAAGGGTAATCAATCGCATGCAAGAAATCTAGTTCGCTATCATTAGCTTTTATGTTGGGGCACTATAGTAAAAATTATACGGGGCGTCACAGTAAAATGGTTACCGTATCGACCGCAATTGGCGAAATTAGTTTCCCGACGTTCTCGCTAACTGGATGCAATGGCGTATACCCGGGAAGTTGTCTTAAGAGCGCAAAGACGTTACCCGCTGACGACAAGTTACTATTAAGTACTAGTGATGTGCCCACGCCAATAACAACAAAGTATCGATGGACATAAAAATAAATGTTGTTTACTTATCCACGGATCTACTTCTATAACTATTTAATTGTGAAGTACCCGTTAAGATGACTTGATTTTGAACCGTGATAGTTGAAATATTCACAAATGATGTATTTCCGTGGCCGCTATAACATCGAATACAAAAAAACAAATAAAAAACTATTCAAGTGAAGCCGCCATAAAACATACATGATTTTTATAGTTAATGTTACGGAAGTCTCTGTGCTTGAGTCCAACTTGAACTTGACTTAACTTATTTTAATATAAAAATAATGTACCGTTATAATCGATAGTTCGTAGGAGGACATCACTCGTAACGAATCAACGAGCGATCTTCAAACTTAACGCATTACCCGGCTGCATTCACCTACGTACTGAAAGTTACGCCGTAACGTTACACCCGACGTGTATAATTACGGTATTTACGCGTTACATAAAAAAGTTTTACGTCTCGCTCAACGTCCCGCGTAACGGTTGGCTTTGGGACGAGTGGGAAATTGTCGGTCTTTGAGTTTGAAGCAGCATAACTTTGCCATATTTTTGCCACAGTGCGTTACAACAGGGTAGTCAACGCTGGCTGTGCCACACCGGCTGTTGCAAAGTCAATTCCAATCGATCTTTCACTATGCTCTTACTTAAGAACTGAGGAAACTAATCGATGACGGTGTTTAAGACCTGATAGTATGTCTGAACAGGTATTTGGCTATGTATTTACATAAAGCTCGGGAATTTACCTATATTGAGTAAAAATACATTGACGACTTCCATATCCCTAGTCAAACTTGACTGCTATTTTTATTATTGTTTACCTACCTTATGAATAAAAAAGAAACAAAGGCACATGTATAAGTGTAACAATCAACTTAAAGATAAGCACAGCAAGTACCTACAGTTAAACATCTTAACAATTATTCTACAAATTAAAACTATAAATAACGAAATAGTAGAATAATTAAAAATGTGGCTTAAAATAAACAGTAACAAAATTAAATATGTCTTATATAAAGTATAGATAGTTAAACTGTTGAAAACCTATTGATGTCAACTGATGTTGACATATTTTTTTGTTTTTCATGTGAAAAGTTGCCAAGCGAGTAGGTGGTTCACCTGATGTTAAGTGAATACCACCGCCCATGGACATCTGCTACACCCAAGGGTTTGCAGATGCGTTGACAACCTTTTTGAAGTTTGGGCTACGGCTACCTCACTCACCAGACGAACCGCGAAAGTATTTGTCTTACTTCCATTTAACGCCGGTCTTCTGTGAGGTCGTGGTACTTACCCAGACGAGCCTGCCCATTCGTGCAACAGCTGAGGCTGTGGCGTGGCCCTACCACCGTTAAAATATTAATTATTTTAAAAATCTGCTTTTTACGTTAATTATTTTAACGTAAAAAGTAGAATTTTATCTACCCTTGCAATCACATTTAGTTTTACACACTTACGGGTTTTAAAATGTTTCTATACATGCGTTGCTGTGTATGCCTTATTACAGTTGAATATCAGTTCGTTTCGAAAGCATCTGTACCACGCTGAGTTCATGAAACGATTACGATACTAAAAGAAAAAAATCTCTACCACTTTATTGCTACCGTTTAATAGTGATCCCCGGTTACTAAACTCGTCCTTTAACAAAACACCGATTAGACACATGTTTATTTTTGAATGAATGAATGAAAATTTGATGTTCTAATGAGAGCCTCACTCCGACCACCAAGGAATTTGTCTTACACTCAACTATCTATTCCATTTGATCAGTCTACTTAACGGAAGATCATTTAGTAATGACGAAATCATACTGGCTGTCACTGGAAGTTGCTGCTATTCTATACTCCTCAGGAACTTGCAGTTAATGCATTCAAACATGTCAAAGCACCAGGCAACTGGAGTTCAGCTGGGAGTGTCTGATCTCAGGCGGGAGAAACAGGAGGAGAGTCAACAAAGAATGGCAACGCAGTAATGGCATTAAAAGATATCCACATTATGCAATCAGCCGGCATCGCTGGGGTTAATCGCGCGACTCGATAGCCGCCAATGCGTTGCCGCCTGCCGTTGAACGGCCGAGAGCGACAATTAATATCGCATCACGGGAGGGACAAGTGCTCGATTTAGATATGTGATCTGATGCGCGGTTGACGGAAAACAGTGTAACCCGATTTTTTCGAGTTTCGTACTCGATATATTATAAAAGTAATGTAAGGGGCATTTCGGCTAGGGTTGGGATATAGGTGGTATAGGTGGTGCAGACTGCTGAAGTAACTGCGCAAGTATGAGTCAATTTGCCCTGATTTATATATGTACCGTTTGCAGTTGGAACCTCGGGTCCGTGGGGTCCCCGCAAAATGTCCGCTTTTTTTTTAAAGTAATGCCTCAGACTAGCCGTTGCAGCTGGTTACAGCAGAGCATGTCTATTTTTCGCTCAAGGGCATGACCATTCAGCGAAAACATGCTGGAACCGTTCTCAGCACGTGGAATATCTTTATCAGATAATGTAATTTTCAATTAAATTTATAAGTAATTATTTTATTAAATATGATATTTTAATTCTTTTAAGGTAAAACAACGCAGCAGCTTTTGCTGTTGCATATTTAAGCAGGGACTGTTCTTCGGATGAGAACTATACGCGCATAGCCTGGCATACGACAGGTTCACCTTAAAGATGGTCAGCTTAAAACCTCTCAAGGTAACTACAACCCAGTGGATGTTCCGGATGGAAGAGTATTGCAGATCACTTATTTCGAGACAACTGCATATTTTTTTGCCACCTTCTCTTATAAATATCTACTTGAGATCTGCTGGACAGTATTAGTCTACCTATCATATCAGATTATATAGTTGCATTTTCTGTTATGCACTAAATGGTTCAAATCTAACCCGCTAATCAATGTTTTCAGTCTACTCGGTAGGTATGATTGTATTTCTATTTATAAAATCGTACTTACAAGAAAGTAATTGTGTTAACTTACTTCTTGTAGTAGGTGTATTTTGTTAACTAATAATATTTATTAATATTTTAATTGCCTCTGTTTACATGGTAAGAGTAGGTATATAGAGGCAAGTTTTGAGTCTTTAAATTTAATCCTCTAAATTCGTACGATTGAAATTTCGGAATGTGTATCTAAATAAATAAATCAATTAAATGTGGTAATATATTCCAAACGCTATGCTCTAAGGCAGGAGCTAAAATAGAATAAAAACCGCAACAAAATCCGTGAAGGAGTTTTAAATTAAAGAAACAAATGGCTGTGGCAATATCAGTAGGCTTTTAGTAATATTATTAATCTGTTACACCGCGGAATATAGATTTAGCAACCATATCACTTCGGTTCATAGAATATGTTTTTTTAATTAACTTTTATTTTAATTGCGTCGTTTCTCGATTTTATTCGGTTGTTATAATATACAAATACTATATCATGTGCAAACAAACAAATCAATAAAATAATATAATATATCTGCATATCTAACGAGCAGGCAATGTCTTTACGGTGTATGGAGTTTCACCACAGAAAATCGTAAAGTCACACTTGTGTCCTTTCCGCCGCGGGGCTAATGTTAAAGAAATTATCGCGTTACAGGCCCGTGAACCGAGCGATAAGCATCGCGGCGAGCGCTAACGACGGCTTACCCGGAATTTATGATTTGTGCTTCGTGTACGGCTTTGGCAGCCAACCGCGCTTTGGGGATTTCGACGGAATACCTCGAACCGCGGCGTTGCTCGCGTAATAACGTCATCGAACTAAATACATTCTACGAGATATATGTTAATTCAGCGCGTAAGCCATTCCCATGTATTTTTGTGAGGAGGTGGCAAGTGAGCTTGTAGTTCAACTGATGCTAACTGATAACTGCCGCTCATTGACATTTGCAACATCGGTACGCTTGCAGATGAGTTGTTGCGTGTTGTTACCTTTTAATAAATTCGGCCCCGGCAACCTCACTCACCATGACGACTCACTCTTCCAAGCTATATATCCCATGTGGTGGTGGGGTCAGCATTCCATACTATTATTCTCCACTTCTCTATCGTCGATACAGTCATCGGATACTTGACACTCTATCATGCCCTTAGCACTACACCTTTCCATCTTTTTCCGGGCCTACATCTGGACCTTTGCTCAGGTTTCTGTAAAATTGCAATGCCAAGTATCCTACAAAGTTCGGCGGTCTTCTCTTTACAGACTCTTGACGGACTTTTGCGAGGTCGTGGTACCTACCCGGACGGACCTGCCCGTTCTTGCAACTGCGAAGACAGTCGCGTGGCCCGTGGCATGGTTGCAATTTTATTCCGTTTAGAGCCTCCCTGATATTATGGCGCGTTAAGGAACAAACTTTCGCATTTCTAGTTTGACTGTAACTGTGCCTTTTTATGGGTGAAGTACAGTTTTCCCGTTCGTTTTCTTGTCCAAATTACAGTCTATTACCAACAATAACATGTTGTAAAATTATTTGGCTTGTTTATTGCCAGGTTATTTGGACATTGCGATTCTTTTTGCCACACAAGCTGTCAAATTTCCTGGGCCTGAATGAGTTTGACAGACTACGCAGAAGTAGTAATCGTGACAGGTGACGAGATGATCCCTAAAGATGTTGACATCCCTAAAAATGTTGTTGATTTTTTCAGCTCACAAGCTCCATCGAGCTCATACCTATCATCATACGTAAAAAATTGACATATATATAATATAAACCACGTTAGAGTTTAAATGCGTGAGACGTTTGAGATAAATCAAAATTGTAACGTTTTTAAATATTGTTCGCAGCCACATAGCGTGCGTTGTCATCCTGAATCATCGAGTGAAGGAGTATAATAATCTGCGTAATTGCCGAGTGATTACGGAGCATTACGCGGCCGTCCATAACTTGGAATCGATTCCGGGGCGTAATCGCTGTGACGCACTGCGATGAACCCGCGTCCTGGGCGCATGAGCGTCATGCGAGGCGAACAGTTACCGCGCAAATTGCGCTTCCCGCGAAGTCAGCCCGACCCGTTGCCGGCAACGCGTCCGCGGCGAGCTAATGATGTTATATTCGTTCACTGTTCATTCATTCCCTTTCGTTGGTTCACCTTATTGTTTTTTTAATGGAAAAGAAGCCAAGAGCAGGCGGGACCACCAGGTGATAAGTGTCCACCGCCCATGGACACTCCAAATACCAGAGGAGCTACAAACGCGTTGCCGGCCTTTGAAGAAGGAATGTGCTCTCATCTTGAAGTTCCCTATGTTGTATCGGTCTGGAAATACCGCTGGTGATAACTGATTCCGCAACTTGGTTGTGCGTGTCCTATGACCTATCTCAGTTGAAACACAAAGTTTAAATGACTGAATGATAAATAGTACGAGGATGTATGATGTATAGTACTCGTACGCGTTATTCCTTTCTCACGAAGCACTAACAGTGAGACAGACAGTGTGCTACAGGGATAACTTTATTTTTGTCTGAAAGTGGCTCGTAGCTCGTGACGTAGTTGATAAGCTGTAGGCATCGGCACCACGTGTTACAGGTCCAACCTGGGACAAGTAGTTGCTTGGACCACAAATAATTGTACAGATCTGCCTTTTTCACGTTTATGTGTGTAAAAACGTCCTTAAAATACAGAATTTGGTAAATAAAAAAGTTTTATGGTGCCTTAGCTAGGAAGCTTGTGGAGTGCTTGAACATTGAATTCAAATAAGGAAATGCGAAATATTTCAGAAAATCATGCACGACCATTCCAGCATTGCTTAATGGATAACCTTAACTTGTTTTCTAGACAAATAACCAAAAATGTTTTATAATAGAAGGATCTGGATATGGAACACTTGATAAAACGAAGCGAATGAATTTCTGCATAAAATTTCAGATTCTTTCCTGTTGAAGAATTTTTGTGCGCATCAGTATCAGATAAATTCAAAACTGCACTGTCGTGAAAACCGTCAACTTGTCAGCGATAAACAATTTTCTCACAGTAGCGTTTCCCGATCCATTGGGTGGCCGTATATGGCGGGCAGTTCACGGCCGCCGTGCGGTCTAACTGCTCGGCCCTCGCCATATTCGTAACGCGACATATGCTCATAAAAAATCCGCCGAGCAGCCAATTACACGTGACTGTACCAGTTCCGCGTGCTGGAGCGAATTGCGCAAGGCATCGCGGAAAATATACGGTTAAATCATGACACCATAGAACTTTGCTGGGCTGTTGAGTTCTATAAAGTAATGAATAAAATTAATAAAATAAAATTTGTTTTAAATTATACATTTTTGTAGATGAATGAAAAAAACTTACGGCGCTGCGAGATTCGAGCCTGCGTCTTCTGGTTTCACACAGAGTTTAGAATTTTTTTTTTATTTAAACACTATCTTTGATGTTTTTATTATAATTGTTCGAACCCCTTCTAGGGTATTGGTTTCCTCCAGCTTTTTCCAGACCTCTATATCTATTGCTTTCTCAATTCGCTTCCTTCTATAGCTTTTATACCTTCTGTCAATCTTCTTCTGGGACTCCCTTTCTCCTTTTTCCCGTTGGTGCTTCCCACGTAGTTGCTTCAAGTGTCCATCTTTTATCTGTACATCTTCCTATACGTCTTACCCTCGGCTATTTCTGTTATCTATAACTTTCGTTTTTCGTCTGATTTGTTCACTGTTTATTTTTGTGTTTTTTTCTTATTTTTCGTACGCTCCTTTGAATTGTCTTATGGCGCGTTACTAATTAGTTTTATTTTTGTGTTATACGTCCAAGTTTCAAGGTATGCAGCAGTAATTTGAGGCATTCGCTTGGTTTGTACACGCGGAAAATAACTTGACAATAGATCCTTTACGGTATCCTAAGTGGTCATCGCCATTTCTGTCACTCGTGAATGTGATCGCGTGGAATGAAACCGTATTAGACTTTTTATGTGGTATTATAATTCTATATATAGAAAGCTATTCTAATAGTGCGCGTTCTGTTTGCTTATTTCTGTTCTGTGATTATGGTAATAATACTAAATGGGATAAAAACAAAATGCACTTTTTGCAAAAATACATGACCACTTGATGACGACAAAAACTATTTACGCGTTAAATCAAGTCCGTGACTGTTGCTGAAATATGAATGAAGAAAATTTAACTCTTACATTTCGATCCGATGAGTTGGAAAAAAATTATGAATTTAAAAAAAGGATTTTTCTCATGAGCTGTTGCTCTTAACAAAACAAATATAGACGATTAGGTTAAATCATTGGTTAAGGTAAATAAGCACCATTTTGCCAAACTCAAAGTAAACATTTTCTGAATTTTAATCTGCATGCTATAATCACTGTAAAAGGTCAGCGACATCTCATAACTCAGGATTTAACATAACAATTTCGTACTACGGAAAAAATAAAAACAAATGAGCGGAGAACTTTATTAAAACACTCAAAATATGCGTGGCTGAAACAACTTACCGAGTCTAATTGATGACCTGCGCCGGTACATACCGAAAGCCGATTAAAATTCCAGCCTTTGATCAAGATAAAACCAAGCCCAGCCTTCGCCTAGGTTTCAAAAGCGCACGCAACACTGCGGAAACTGGGGACATTGTTTATATTTTCAACAAAATACGACTACTTATGAAACCATTACAGAAAAGAGGCAGAAAACTTCGTTCCAGACTAGTGTTGATTAGGAAATTTTAATGTACTCTTGCAAGAATTATTTTGCCCTTTACATTAATGAATTAGCTATTATAACTGAAACAAACACGCCTGTATTTTTCATTTGTTTACTTAGATTTTGCGATTTTTTAGTTATACCTCTTTTGGCTCGTTTGGAAAATATTATGGGAGTAAAAGTTTTTACGATGCGCGCGCACACCGACCCCAAAAAGCGACATGATGCTTCGTAACCAAATTAATCTTGGCAACCAATAACAACTTTTTGACATTGACCAATAATTCCATTATCCAATAATTAATATATAAATAATTTTGGTAGGGCAACGCAGCAGCCTCGGCTGTTGCACTAATGGGCAGGCTCGACCGGTACTCGTACCGGTACTCGCTTTGTACTCGTAAGTACAAAGACCTCACAGAACCTGCGCTAGAGGAAGCTTTAATAGTCTCTGAACTGAAAGCAGAAACATCAGTTAATTACAAGAAGTATAATACTACGTTATAATACTACGTTTCGTCTGGTGAGTGAGCCCACTTACATCAGATGAACCACCTGCTCACTTGGCTACTTATCACATAAAAAAATAATTAATATTTATTTAATATTTATTAATATTTATAATAATTCCATAATCAAACTTTAAATAAACCGTTATCAATTGCATTTAATCTAAAGAAAACTTTAAATAAACCGTTATCAAATCCAGCGTCGGCATGGCAAGCGTGTAGTATATAACAAGATTAAACTGATAGGCTCAAAACCAAATTTACGGTTACGTTTTAAAAGTTACGACGATGCCCGCGAATTATATTACATTTCATTTGGAGCGATCTCCATATGCAGTTAGTCTGGATCGGCGTCACCGAGGCGAGGCATAATTTCCTGACCCCGCGCACAAAATACGCCCCGTATGTCTTACAGCCGCTTTCATTGTACATTTGATTACTGGAGATAGAATTTTGACGTAAGTATTACGGAGCTAATGTCAAATACCTATCGCTAGTAAACAAATCTGTTTGTAGATTGAATATTGAAACCGACCGTTAATAGTTAGTTATCAATGCCGAATGCGTTCTTTGTGATACCCTTCGTGGCATGTGTAGCTGTTT